GTCATGACTAGTACAGAGCCACTCTGATTTTCATGAGAAACCTTGAGCACCTTCATATCACAGAAGAGAAGGAAAAGTAAGTGTTTTCTAGCTTGTTGCTGAGAGGCAAACCACGTGAGACACATAGTTAAAAGACAATTTAATGCAGAGGCCTTTTCCACTGCATATGAATTACAATATTTTCATGCTCTCCACAAGAAAACAATACACAGCTAATCTTGGGCTGCCTATGCTGTCCTTACGGAAGGACACAACTCCAAAGGGAAAACTGTAGTGACTGGGAGGATTCAGAACAGCTTGTCCAACCTATACATGTAGTGATAGGACGTGCAATGGTGAAAGATGAGGGGTGAAAATTTAACCTCATTGTGAGCGGTCTTGCTGGGGAGAACAGACCTGAGCTTTGCTCTTGATTCCTTGATTAGTTCCTGACATTTTTAAAAACGTGAAATATAAAACACATAAACGGTCCTGATGGCCAGGGCCAGAAACAATCAGGACTTTGGAGAGGAATGGGATATCGAAGACGAGCAAGGTGTTGCCGCTTATTGAATAACACAGGTAGCTTTTTACTGCAGCTCTCCTCTAGGACCAGCTCTGTCCCCAGCACCTCAGCATCGAGGCTGTACAGCACCCACCTGGATTTTCTTTGTTTGATATATATACTTTTTATAATTTTTCTTTAATATAAGATTCAGAATCAGCTCATCCATATGCTGATCCACACTTTGCTTCCTTGAGAAGTTATATTCCAGAAGTGTTATTTTTTGGCCTGGACAATGGGTAGATATCCCAAACATTTGAAGTTCCTGGGAATGTAAAACTCATCTATTTTGAAAGACACTGAAAGAAAAAGGAAGGCCTAAATCAAAGCAAGTACCAAATGGTGGGTAGCTAACCAGTTGTCATCTCGCCCCCTCTTAGCCTGCTCACATCAGCAGTACAAGCTGTACCTGTTTAAATAAAATATAGGCAAGTATTCACAATCCACTGTATCCAATAAATTCACTTTCCCATCTCAATAGCTCTTAGGAACACCATAAGGACCACACATTCCCTCCTCCCCCCCATATTAAGCATTTTTTTTTAAATCAGTTAGTTTTAAAAATACTGCCTTGCCTCTCTCTTTTTTCTACATTCCCTAAACACAAAAAAACAAGGCACAAAAACCTCAGAAAATAAATGACCAAAAATGTGAGATAAGGTGGTAAGTGTATTTGGAAGCTCAGAGTTATTTCAGAGAGCTGCTTGTCAATCCTATCAAATGCATTATGTATAAGTTTAAAGTCAATACTTTCTGCCAACACTTTGTTGAGCTAGAAAGCTGTCTGCTATCCCTTTTATCTGACAGGTAAGTAAATAACTCACTGGCTTAAGCAAATTAAGTAAATAGTGTTTGTGGGCAGGTGTTTTTGTTCAGCATGTAGTATATAAATGTGTATTAATTCTGCTAACTTTGAGAAATGTTGATGCAGAGGAAGAGGTTATAGCAAATGTACAGATTAAAACAGAAACATTTGTCAAAAAAAAGAAGTGCATAAAGGCACATAGTAAACAACTAGATGAGTTTGCTGAAGCCAAATGCTCACATTTAGTAAACGAAATGCTTCATTAATCCTTCCTGACAGAAGTAATGTTTGGAATGGAGAACAGATCCAAGAGAAAACATTCAGCTAAGTTGTGTGCTGCAGGTTTTCCTGGGCAGCCCGGCGAGGAACCGCAGCCTCTCCCTGCTGTGGATGGGCAAGGAGGGGTGTTACGGAGGCAGCCGCCTGCTGCTCCCACTCCTGCAACTTCCTCCTGCTGTCAAAATGGTTGGGGTTGATGACAGAGCAGCGGGAGGAGCTATCGGTTGTGTGGGTTGCTTTCCTACAGATGCTTCTGGACCCTGTGTGCTGTGCACCGGCTGTGGTCCAGCTGCTAAAAACGTGCCATGACAGAGTCGTCCCCATGCTGGGTCCTGCACTGGCAGTATGGCAACCACATACCACTGCAGCACTTTCGCTTTGAGAGCTACCCAGAAGCAAATCACATAGTGATGGCAAATCCCCTTACTCCAAGTGAACCATCGAGCATTGGGTGAGTTTCTGAAGGAGCCCTCAGAGCTCTGTGATTAGCTGCATGCCTCAGCTTTACCTTCAAACAGTACATTTCTGTTTCTGAAGGTTGGGAAGAAAAGCTTGGAATTAGCTCTTGAGTCTCCCAAGTGAGTTGCTTAGGTCTTGAGACCCGGGTTGCCAATGAAATTGGATTAATCTCTGAGATCTAAGCAAGATGGAGATGACTGGCATAGGACAGTGCTTTCAAGGAAATCAAATCCTCATGCAGAGCCTTTGTCTGAATGTACATCTCATGGCCTGAGTCTTAGCTGCAGCACTTCTCTTGTGTTTGCTATGTCCAGCTCTGTAGCAGTGCCTAAAAGCAACACCCTCCTCTTTCATTAGTAAACAATTTTTCACAGGAGTGACCTCACCTCAGTAAATAGGGCCTCTTGGCTTGCCTATAGCAATGCAACATCCCTGGTATGAAGCCTAAAGCAATCCCTGTACACCATCTGCACAGAAGGCTATGGCATGGCTTGCCACCATCATCCCTGAAATACCTCCCATGGAATTCCTTATCAGCTTCCCAGTCTCTGTGTCTTGGACTGCTCCATGAGGAGGCCCATGTACCTACCAGATGAGCTAGAGGGCCAGGATGAAGATGACAGACGGTGACGCTGCTCAACTGAGGCAGCAATGAAAGAAATCATCTGTGTGTCAAACTGTAGATAGGGCTTGCATAGGAATAAGGGCCGTTACAGACCTCAGTAAGGTGATCTATGTAGTCATCTTTACCAGTGGTTGGTGCCCCTGGAGCCAAGGTCCCACGATCTGAACAAGGATGAAGCTACTGCAGATTCCCCCTGAGATGGGAGATGAGAGACATTTATCTCTCTCTTTTCTGCCTGGCTGTCATCATAACACCTTGTCTTCAAGACCATTGTCCCACAGTCAAGTTAGATTGAAAGTAAGCAGATGGTCTGGTTGTGTCTGGGGTGGGGAAATGGCATTCATAAGCCCTGTGTTATGAGAATCAAGCTGAAAATAAACAGGCTCTGAGTCAAGATACTCCTTTGCACACACTTCTTCCTCAGGGTAGAGGAGGAAAGTGCAGTGGTGTGACAGATGCCATTCACTTTGCTTTGTGTGTTTCTGGAAGGAGATTAGATACTGCAATGAGAAGAACAAAGTAAGAACTTGAATTAAGTACTCATGTCTTCTGCCTTCCTGGGAGATGGACTGAGGGAGCGCTGTAGGGAGAAATCTGGGATGAGAAAAGGGGTAACACTGTCCCTTTTCTCAGCATGGAAAGATATGAGTTGCTCTCCTGAACAAGGGAAGATTTAGCAGGAAAAATGGCTAAAAATCTAGGGACAGAGAAGTATTGGACAATCAGCTGGAAAATGGATCAGAGCAAGTTGTTCCAAGGAGCCAACATCATCATCATCATTATCATCATCATAACCCTGGGGAAAAGCTGGGGATGCAGAGGCAAGAGCTGTGGCCAGCATTGAACCACCACCCCATCCTACCAAGAAGCCAGTCAAGCTCCTGCCCACATTATGGTACATGCTGTGGTGTCCTTAAGCAAATATGTCAGTAAAATGCTTTTTGGCTGAAAGGAGCTTCAATAGATTGTCTGACCTCTTACATGTTTCAGTACAGGATAGTGAAGAATAATACAGATTCCACTGGAAACCTTCATGCCAAAAGTTGATCTTGCAGCAGATGTGATCTAACGCCATATGGCAGCTGGGGTGTTCTCCTGAGCTTGCAGTTTTGTGGTGTATGGTGAAGCGAACCATGCTATGGTCAGTGCTGCAGCAACTGAGGCGCTCTAACAGAAGTCCCTCTAGTCTGGCAGCTCTATTTTGTAGCTTAGTTTGTGCTGCAACATGCAAATAGAACTTGCTCTGCCCTCTGATGTTTATCTAAATTTTGCATGTGTTCGCAGCTCGTACGAGAAGATGACAAATTGGGAAAATATTTGTTTTCACATAAGCCAAAAGAGTATTACAGCAGACAGCCAGACAAACACAGTGTAAGTGCCAAAGCCTGAGCTTTTCTACACTCTGTGCCATGTACATATTCAGTTTTACCTGCCTAAAGGGTAACAAGGAAGTCAGTCAATATGCTGCCTTAATCACTGCAGTTTCTCTGCATGAGGACTACTCATTGCATCCTATTGCAAGGCTCTGGAATACCACCCAAAAAGGGAGGTTGAAATCATCCACCACATTTCATTTACCCCTGCCAGCTGAATCTAAACAAATTGAAAAATGACCTGCCTGCTACACTTGGAGGCATACAGCAGAAAATAACTCTGAAATAGCTGCTTATGTTCACTGGGGAAAGATTTATTTCTGATCAGAGCTTGAGTCGCAGAGGTAAATAGGACCACCTGTAAACCATTACCTGCCATGCCCCACTGCCCCTGTATGAAAAAACACACACAGGCATTGCCTGAAGTGGAGTTAGTCTAGTAAATGACCAGGAAAATGGAATGTTTTCTCTCAACAAGCAGCAAATGAAGAGGACCTGCTGCATCTGAAATGATGCTACCTTGTTTAGCTTCAAGGTTTGATGAAAGGCTCATGACTCTAGAAGTCACTTTCTCTCCTCCTCTAGTGCAACACAAGTCACTTTGCCCTTTGCTTCGTATTGCAGGAGGGTTTTTGGTGAGGAGGCAAGCTGACCTATTGTACAAATGGGTTGAAAAGGCTCTACGCTCATGAACAGCCAGAAGGGATTCTGTATATTACCACAGCTAGTTGCCTTTTTGCTTACTTATGATCTGTTTAAGTTGTGGGTGGTTTTTTGTATTTATTAGCTGATTTTGGTACCATGAGATTACAGATTTCATGGAAATCACAGAAAAAGCAGAACTTTAAAGAGTGCTTGTAATACTTTTCTGGATATTTTTTTAATTTGCCTTTCTTCCTTCTCTGAGTCCCATAGGCAGCAGGTGGTCTTTGGAAGATGTGATTTAAGGAAGAAAGCACTTCAGTACCTATAAAGAATACAGCAATGAAAAAACACTTCCCAGGGTCTCACCCTCAGCTGAAAGGAAACATAAAAGTGCTGTTCCCACATCTACACTGGCTACTAGAAAAAGAGCACAGGTACATGAACCTGCCCTGGGACTCCAGACGTAGAAGGAAAAGAATAAACCCTGAGGAGGAGGTCAGGAGTGCCCAGCGCCTGGGAGCAGCATGATTATCCATGGGGAAAGAGCCTGCACAGCCAGCACCGTGTGCCCCACTGTTTCACAGAAAGCTTCTTCTGAGGGACGGCCATGGTGCTGGGTATGAAAGATGAGGTGTTGTTGTTGGTGTGTCCTAGTACCTCGGTGCTGCCATCCGTAGCTCTCCATCACTCAATAGCCCTTCTGCTCTCCCCTGAGCCACTCAATTCCATTAGCAGCATGTCTGGCATTTGTCACCACACACCTTTCTTTTTCTTCTGGCATATATATAACCCCTGTTGGCCTTGATACTGGTGTGACACGCAAACAAGTTACATAAAGACTCTCCAGGTGCATTTTCGCATCTCACAAGTCCCCTATAATTCATAGTCCAATATTTGAAGAGAGTGGCTGGATTCAGCACTGAGTCAGATCTCCTTTGAGAGGATTAGATCTTACAGTGGTACCCATGCCCCATTTTCAGTCCTCTCTACTGTCTTCCTAAACAAGAATCCCTATGTTTCTGGTTTGAACATTTTGCTTTTGTTTTGAGGCTTATTAAAAATCGAGAGCCAGGTGGTATCAGCATGCGGGAACTGGGCACATGCCTCTTCCACCATGTGGTGCCACCAGCTGAAAAGGGGGAAATACAGACTTTGCAGTTATTTGACTCTGTTCACTGCTGATTCCACTACCAGCTTGAAAAACTGCTTCTTTTCTGTGGTATAGAGTGAAATAGCCTGTGCACTATGTGAGTTATGTCAAAAACCTTACGATGTTTTCCACAATAGACTTGCATGTAGGTGGTAAGCAAAGCCCAGTCTGCACATGCTGAAGACTGGGCTGATCCTGTTCCTCTTCACTGCTGTTCAGACTCAGCACAGAAAAAATCAAAACAAAGAAATGTTTCAGGGTGCGGTCGGGAAATGTTGAGGCTTTCAGTGACTCAGCTGGATCCTTATCCCTGATAAACTGCCTCTGAGATCCTGAGGCTACTGGACCATAGACCAAAGGAGCCATTGAAACAAGGCTCTTTATTGAGATGTGTTTATTTCCTCAGGTGTCTCTATGCATCATTAGAACACAAAGTGTGAACATAATTCATTCCCAGGTGCATTTCAAGCATGCTGTCCTGTCAAAGCAATATCAGCAACACGTGGACTGAACCTCCCTCCCCACCCCTGTCCGCTCCAGCAGAAGGAGGCTTGGTCCCTAGCAGTGGGAAGCTGGTATGTGAATTGTACAGATCCATCAGAATAAACTGATCGCAGTTGTTCCTCACCAGTTTATCCCCCAAACAAAAGTATTTTGATTATTTGAGTGTCAAGCAATCAAATGCTGTACCTCAGACACAGCTATTCCAGGAGATAATTAGAAGCACAGAGGAGCAAACAATATGCCACAGAAACGATCATCGCAGTGTGATCCAAAGGATAACTTTGGTAATGCAAGTGTTTCTTTGCTGGATGACTCACAGAAAGAAGCAGGGGCTGGAGCTGCTGAAAAAGGAGCCTGCTCCATGGGAACATAGAGTGAAGGTCAAGGATCAACTGTGTAAAACCGACTTTTTGTTTGACGTTAATAATCTTAAGGAAATGGATGGAGTGAGAGCAAATGTCAGCTCCAGTAATGACTATGTAACTCTGGGACCGTATAGAAAAGTGATAGTCTAGCTCACATGCTGCTGGTGGAAATAATGGGGAGAGGTGAGCTGAGAATTCAAGCCTCACTTTAATGTTTTCTTTTGAGCTTCTGATTTATCGATGGGACAGATAGCCCTCTAATATTTAACTCTCTGTATTAGCATATATATATATAGCACATATATATATATGTAATATAGCATATAAATACAGTACATATGCATTTTTTACTGTTGTCTTTCATCTGTGTAACTTCCCAAAGCTGTACAAAAACCATCATCTCAGCAGTACTGTCACTTATTAAAGTTTTTGAAAGTATAAATGTCTAATAGTTTTTATGTGAAGGTCCAACTTTCATGTTATGGCATTTAATGCAAAACATAAATATTTTAGAATAATATACATACTATATAAGAATATGCGCTAAGTTGTTAAATTTTGCACATACATGTTGGTTTGGGCTGGGGTAGAGTTAATTTCCTTCACAGTAGCCAGTATGGGGCTATGTTTTGGATTTGTGCTGGAATCAGTGCTGATAACACAGGGGTGTTTGCTTTTACCTATTTAAACTGCCTTTATCTCAACCCATGAGTTTTCTCACTTTTACCCTCTGGTTGTTTCTCCCATCGCTCCAGGGGGGAGTGAACAAGAGGCTGTGTGGGGCTAATGGCTGGCTGAGGTTAAACCACAGCAACCCTTTTTGTCACCCGACATAGGGCTCCAGGGGTGTGAGATAATGACAGATTTGATTGGAATGTGTTAGATTGAATTTACAGCTTTATTGCTGTCTAGCTATTAATTGACAGGCTTCTGTGCTTGCCTTTGGGCTTGCTTGCCTTCCAAAATATCAGAGTCTAGTGCTTGTTAGTGGCTGCTTTTTGCTTCTGCTGCTTGCTGTGTTGCTGTGCTGCCTATCTTACTCTGCTGTGCCCAGGAACATTCTGATAACAGCAGTGGCGATGCTCCCAGGTTGGAAGGTGGGCAGGGCATCGCTGCTGTTTCTGTGCTGATGTACTGGACAGGCTAGAACTCCAGTGTGAACTGGAGATGAAGGGTTTGTGACCTGTGGATGAGCCCGCATAGGAGCAAGACCCCCCATGTGTTTGGCTATGGATAAGATGTACCAGAGCAGGTGCATCTCAAAGCGTCTGCGGCTGTGGTTATGTCTGTGCCACAGCCATGTGTACCTCTGAAGGGACTGTGGCCCATGGATAAGTCCATGCTGGAGAAGGTACATGTTGAAGCATCTGTGGCTGTGGATAAGTACCTTGAAGTATCAGTGGCTTTGCATGAGGTCATGCTGGTTCACCTCAAAGTGTGTGGCCATGGATAAGCCCACAACGGAGCGGGTGCATCCCTGAAGAGACTATAGCCATAGGTAAGGCCATGTTGAAGCAGGGTCACTCCTGAAGCTGAAGCAGGAGCAATGGGAGGAGATAATTGCAATGACAAACCCTATGGCCTGATCCAGAGGGACCAGGGGTGGAGACTGTAACGGAAATACCTTTAAATTAAATTGTTGTAACCTGGGATGTGAGTTGCATGCTGTGGGAATTACTACAGCAGGAGCCCCCTGTTGCTAACCTCTTAACCAAACTAGGAACAAGGCGAGGAATGTTCATTGCTATGCTAAGCCCTATGGTCTCATCCAAAGGAACCAGGGATGGAGACTACAATGGAAATACCTTTAAATTATTGTAATCCGTGATCTGCATAGCATGGTACAGGAATTACTATAGCAGGAACTACCTGAACCAATAGAGGACAAGCCTTACAAGAAGCAGTGCAAGTGCAGCAGTGACCTAACCTGAGCTGGCACTGGTGCCCAGTAACCCCATGCCACACAACACTTCTCCTGTCTGATTGACCACTATAACAGACAGAGCCCAAAGTCATGGACTAAGTGGACTTGGCTGACATTTTGCTGACATTTCTGGACATTTTATAGGCACTTTACAGGGTGATCCATAGACTAGGGGACTGATAGCTGTGTATTATAACAAAGCATGGGAAGGGGGATAGTGGTTAATGAGGATGTCCTGGATAGTCTGGGACCCGAGCGTGATGTAAATGGTATGAAATAAGGGGTGGAGAATGTGCTGGTTTGGCCTGGAGTAGAGTTAATTTCCTTCACAGTAGCTAGTATGGGACTATGATCTGGATTTGTCCTGGAAACAGTGTTGATAACACAGGGGTGTTCTACCTAATGCTGAGCAGTGCTTACACAGAGCCAAGGCCTTTTCTGCCCCTCACAGCACCCCACCAGCAAGCAGGCTGGGGGTGCACAAGGAGCTGGGAGGGGACACAGCCAGGACAGCTGAGCCCAACTGACCCCAGGGATATCCCACACCATATGGAGTCATGCTCAGCATGTAAAGGTGGGGAAGAAGAAGGAAGGAGGGATGTTCAGAGTGATGGCATTTGTCCTCCCAAGAAATTCATGAGAATATTACTCAGACCCACCTCACACATACTTTTTCAGTGGTTATTTTCACCAGATTTTCTTTCAGTAACAGATTGTCTGAGCCTCGTTCCTTCTGTCTCTTGCCAAAATAGCAGCAAGTTTAATTTTGTTTCTGCCCCAAATTGTGGCACAACTGGCAATGTGTAAACACCCAACAGCCTGCTCTCCATTTGTGACAGCACTCCTTCCCCCTAGAAGAGGGGGTGCCAGCTTTGCAAAGAGTCCAGGTTACATTCTGGATGAAAATCAGATTATTAGGGGAGAAGAAGGGGTCTTGTCATTCTGCTGTCAGTTATTTTGAATTTGGTGGCGTTTATTTTTAAATGGAGGCTTTTTGGCTCTTCAAGTTATGATCCAGGTCTGCTTGGCACTGATGAAGAGGGTATCACCTGCCCAGACAGCATGCGCCAGTGCTTTGCTGTCCTTGTGTTGTAAAGATTTCCTGATACTAACCCAAAATGCCCCTTCCCCACGGCAGACTGGTGGCAGTTGGTCCTACTCAGAGCAAACATGAATGTCCTGGTTGGGAAGTCTCCGAGCTGAAGACAACAGGGGGCGGGAGTGTTGAGGGAAATTATTCCTCATATACTTGCCCTGTTTCCTTACTTCCCCAGACATCCACTTTAGTGCTGTCAAAGATGTGATCCTGGGAGGCAAGCTTTCAGTCTGATGCACTACAGATAATTTTAGGACACAAAATCCAGATTACTATGTTCTTTACAAGGGCCTTTTCTGTCCTCGAGGTATGTTACTAATGCTTCCCTCCTGCAGGCTGCACAATTCCAATATTTTCAGCTTTCCTTCACAAGACAGGAGCTCAGAGCTCTTATCTGCATCCTCTGAACTCCCCCTTGTCTCCATCATGTCTTCCTGGGGGCACATTACTCACAGCTGAACACAACCTCCAGCGGAGTCACCAGCGGTGCTGGGGACCATGGAGGGGTTAATCCTTATGCTTTGTAGATTAAGTCCTCTGCCCACCCCCAGCGTGCTTGCTCTTCTCAGAGGTGGGTCAGCACAACTGACTCATGCTTCTCTCTGATTCACCCCGATCCCTCTCTGCAGAGCTGTTACCCAGACACTTGCTCTCCATCCCATATCTGCAGCTGGTTATCCCCACTTAAGTGAAGGGAAATATGCCTGTATATGGGTGCAACGGGTACAAATCTACCTGAACTCCCAACAGCCTGATACAATCTCGAGGATTCTGCCAGGCAGGAAGGGTAGGTAGAGAAAGGATGCAGAAAGATGAGTGTGTTGCACAAACTCAAAACATGCTAGTGAATCTCCCAGCACACAATGCAGGCTTTGATTGCTGGTTTGGAATGTGTTCCTTCTTTTGTTTTTACAGTATATTATTTTGCATTTTTAATTTGACCCCACACTGAAAATCCAGTTTTTATTATATCAGTTGTGGACATTGCAAACCCCCTGGTTTGAGGGCTGAATTAGTAGATCTCCTGTATTCAAATATTGAAGCCATAATGTGGACTCTTAAGACTAGTACAAAAAAACATAGGCAAAAACGACTAGGCAATGAAGGTTAATGCTAAACTTAATCTTCATTTCAGCTGGTATATTTTTAATGAAAAAGTAGAAAAATGCATATGCTTTCTCTCAACAAGTGTAGAACTCTGTTCCTGCTCCTTGTCAGTGCTCAACTGTATAGGAACAAAGAGTGTTTGTGACTCTAGGGAGGAGGCATTTTGGTACTAGTAGCAAGGCATGTAAAAAATGACAGGTTTGGCAGTTGACACAGTAGGAAAAACATGGATCTTGTTCATGAAGAAGAGAAAAAATTTGAAAATGCTAAAATATCTGTGGTTGGGCCAGCCTTGGAAAGACTGGGAAAGAGGCCCTGTGGCCAGCTGGACTATGTGTGTTATTTGACTTGCCCAGTTCTCTCTTTAGACCAACCAATGTGAGTATTTTTTGTGCTCTCTACCACCCACCATCTTGTCTCTCTGTAACTTTACAATACAATCTGCTTGACTCACAAAAGAGATCAGAGGTGGGGCAGGACTGGATGCAACAAAATAGATTAAAGAGACTGTGAGCTGCTGGAGAAGAAGTAATTTTCCAAAGGACATCATAGAGCTGTGCTCTTTCCATTGAATTTGATTCACTTTTGGTTTAATTACCTGTATCATTCTTCCTTACAATCTGTCTCTTTGTCTTCTTGAGAGTTTTATAAATTTTGCAATAACTGATGGACTAATACTAAGTGCAGAACAGCTTCCTTTGGATCCCTTATTCTAAGGTAAGTGGAGCACTATAGATATCAGGGGTAAGCATGGTTCTGCCTAAGGCATCAGTATTGCAGACTGAAGAAGCTGAACTCCTAGAGGATGAAACTAGGGAGGTTACATACTCTTATGTTCCAGTCATGTGGGACAGTGGCAGACCAAGTTCCAGTCATCTGAGTTTTGGGTCTGTGAGACAAAAGACTGCCCTCGTAGGAGGCAAAAGCCTAAAAACCAGTGCAAGGAAGAGAGGGGAATATACATGCCAATTTAAGAGCTTAATGCAGTGCATCACTTGTGTTTCCTTATTTTATTCCTTTTTCTCTCTTTTTACTATTATTATCATTCTTATTGTTCCTGTTTTCGCTGTGATTGGTTTATATCCAAATGGCAATGGGGCCAGAGGGATCACATTGTACTAACCTGAAGGAAAAGCTCTATATGATGTCATAGATGATATACTTCCTATATTATTCTCAACCATCTCAGACAGTTCCAAAAATGTTTACAATGATGGTGTCTTGTTTACTCCTATATTGTGTAAGTTTTGAGGCAAACTCTTTACAACCCTTTTCACTTTCTCTGTAATCTCTGAGTTGTATGAGTTGCATTGTGACTTGTGACAAGCAAAAGCTGCATCTGTTTGAGAGGAAGACAGGAAAATACAATTGAATTTTAGCCCATATTCTTGTTCTTACACTTCTGAGGGGTTCTAAGGAGATCTTAAGAAAATTTTAAATGTTCTTCTAAAAGGCAGAGCTTTTATTATCTATATCCACTGTAAAATGGCATGGGAAATCCTTAGAAATGTAATGAAACATAACACATAAAACGCACTAGGTCAGTGTAAGCCGCCATCTAATTAAATGAGCAGATTCATAATGACAGGACACCATTAAAAATCCAGACAGAAAACTTCTCAGTACTCTTAATCTGCATTTTTTTTGTGTTACTTTAGGTCTTCACTTAAGGAGTAATGGAAGTGAGCTGAATAATGAATACAGTCAATATAGTCTCAGGGAGCTTTCCTTCCACAATTTCTTTCTGCTGAGCTGAACTGAAGGTCAAATAACTTCAGCATAGTAGAAAGAATAAGGATTATGCCTTTTAGACCCT